TCATTTTGCATTTCCAGTAATCTTGAAAGATATGCTATTTCCACCTCCTTCTCAAAACTGTTTTGTGGATTTATAAACAATTCAGCGGTTTAATGTTTTACAAAAAGTAAAGAGGCCCCCAAACAAATAATGCTTTGGGAACCCTGTTGTTTAGAGAGATTAAATATTCTTACTGAATAGCTGTGGGCGTGGTAACACCTCTGCTGATATTCCCCAGGCTTCGGCAGAGAGAACGGCCAGGTGACCATCGAGTACTACTCCCAGCTGAAGACTGTGGTTGTGGAAATGGGCGACGTGGACAGTCTCTTCTAGAACTGCTCACCGCTGCTGATGCAGAACTGTCATCAAGTAATTCTGGCTTCAGTCATGTGTTAGGCAACACACATGAGAGCACTTTATTTGCACTATGTATGCTTTGTACTTTTGGAGGGGCAGATTTGTTTCAAATGCCCATGTAAGAAGTGAATACTTTACTATCTCTAGGCAATCAGTGGACCTACTTTTCTATAAACCAAGTAAATAAACACAAGCCTATATGTCAAACTAACTGCTTCATAAAAAACACTTGCAGCTGATATGTACACTCAATGATAAATGATACTATAGTGAAAGGAACTGTGTGAACAGGTTTTTTTTTACTGTATGCTTAACTAAAACACTAAATAAGAAAACAAATGCCTTTTTTCAAAAATAAAATGTTTTAGATACTAATGCTCGGTTCCTGTTGGCTTTTTTACTTTTCATAAAAGATGAATTAAGAACAATGGATGACACAATTATTAGAAATCACCATGAAGCTCTTCCTGTTATTTAAAATAAGACAGTTATTCTTTGTATGCAGTGCAGTGGCAGTTCTACAGGGTGGCACGGGGTGGCAGCTGCCACTTCAGAAAAATGCCTTGCCACCCCAGCTGCCACCCCAGTTGGCAGCTTTGTTGTGAAAAAAAGTTGTGGCTCATCGGACATTTATGAGAGAAAATCTCTAATGTCCGAGTGCAAGTGAATGCAGCACAAGACGCGAGCCTTGTAACCTCTCCCCCGGCCCTGGAACGATCGTGGAAATAGGATTGGCGGCGATTTCATTTTAATGGGGGACAGCGCAAAACGAAAAGCATTTCGGATCCAAGCAGTGGCGTTTTCTCCTGGAGGCCAAGGGAAGCCAGGCTTCACCTGTTTTTTCGGATTGTAGTTTTAATTTTAATAAATAAATAAATAAAAATGCTTAGTTTAGTTTCGGAAATTCTTTGTTGTGTGTTGCTGCCGGTATTTTACAAAGAGTGAAACCGCTCCCCTCTAGATGTTATGGTGAAACAGTAGATTGCACTCACTGTTGCTGAAATTGGCTTCCCTTGGTGAACAAAAATGGAGGGATTGACCAATCAGACAAGGCTCACGTCATGCCCCTGCCAACCTGTGATTAGTCAGGGCCGCTGGTCAGGGCCATGCCAAGGGAAGCCAGAGAGGCGGCTGGCTTCCCTTGCCTCACAATCCAATCAAATCGCATCAATTTAGTGTTGCAGTGACGCATCCTAAAACCCGGAAGTAAGCTGCGCTCGGTTTCCCTCGACAAAAAAACAATGGGATTTCTCCATAGGATTTTGGAAAATACCTCGAAATAAGGTCAGTGGAAAACGAACCTGTTTGATAAATGCACGTTTTGTTCAGTCGGATAATATCCACATGTCTACCCTACTTTTATAATTTTCGAATCATAAATCTAATCGATAGAAGATAGATAGCGTCCACTCTCACCGCCGTTATAGAAAGTAGCAAGCAACTGAAGCAAGTGCAATTATGGAGGGTGGAGATTTGGAGTATTTAATCAAAAAATAATTGTACTAAACTTCCGCTACAGCAGCAACAACAAATACAATCTGATGACAGGCCAATGCCCAAAGACGTTAAAGGTCTCCTGATTTAGTTTGTGAATGAATGCTTATTAGAGTTTTGTCTGGAGAGTGCGTGCGGACCTGTCGGTTAGATCAGGGCCCCGGAGGTGTTACTGCCGGGCCGCAAAATAGCTGTGAGTTTATCGTAATATTTGCAGAATTATAAATATATAAAAATATTTTATCATAATATTTTTTTTTAAAAAGTGTTTAATGTTCGCACCTATACCAGTCATATTATTTCCTCCAGTAGCCTAGTTAATCTTTCACCAGATAACCATTGACTTTTTGAATGGCTTTTATGATGTCCCGAGGGATTCGGCGGCTCAGCTGGTCTCTCTTGTGTGCACGAGAAAGTTACCGGTGCGCCAAGTAGGAAGAGGAGCGCACAGGAGACAACCGTTTAATTGCAGACTGTTATGTTTATGTGGGGAAATGGCAGTGCATACATTATTTGAGATATATTTCAAACTCGGACTTCATTTTAAGGACCTGTCGGCCAGGGGTGTAGAGCTATATGTTTATTTTATTAGCTTTTCTTTTTAATGACTGATTTTAAATGCCATTTTCTTAATGTCTTTCATTTTTTTGTAAAGCACTTTGAATTGCCTTGTGTTGAAAAGTGTTATATAAATAAACTTGCCTTGCCTTTGTTTAAGCACCGGATTGGCAAAACAGGAGAGTAAACCAGTCTGCCTTGATCTATGAATTCATGTCCGGGACTCACAGTAGGCCTATCTGCTGCCTGCAGCTGTTTTATAGAAGGAAAAACCCCTTCACTTCATGAAATGGCTGCAGCATCAGGAGGCAGCGGGACGTGTAACTCCGCTTCTGAGAAGTGCAGCACCAGCGCGCCGAGAGCTGTGCCTTTTTACGCACCGCCTTCGCTGTGTTTACCTTCATCAGAACAGCGAGTGACTGCATGCTGCTACGTGTTAACCACACACACCTCTACACACATCAAACTGCCCGATTACTCCCCCTTTTATTAGTTTTATGAAGTAGATGTCCAGTCACCAAGGCGCATGATGTGTGTGTGTGTGCTCTGCTCAGCTCTGTGTTTGTGTCTGTCCGACACCGGCATTTGTTTTCAAATGACCATGAACAGTAATTTACACACATCTGCTAACTTCATAGGTAGCCTATATGCGTGTGTTCTCAAAATAAATGAGTTTAATCTTAATCTCGATGTAGTGCTAACTGCTGTCGGACGTGCACCGGAAAGAACGTCACTATCATAATATCTTCTGAAAACAAATGCCAGTGTCACACACACACACACACACACACACACACACACACACACACAATTTCAGTGGCAGGTCATTAGGGGCAGGTGGGGTACAGATCCACCTAGTGTCAGCAGAAAGTTAAAAATTAAAATAATACAAAAAAATACATCTTAAAATATATTTTACGATCATGTTTAATCATCTGATTCGTCTGTACATTGCTGTTTTAGTCTGTTCTTCTAATTAGTGTCTACAGTGTGCCTATTGAGCCGTTTTGAGCGACGTGGGTCAAGCCCATAGACTGGTCAAGCCCTGATCAAGCCCCTAGGTTAATCTCAATTGAGTATTTCACCTCCTCCTTTCCCTCACTCGCGTCCCTTCCTTGCGTCTTAGCTCTATCTATGGGAGCTGTTCCAACATATTTAAAGTTGGAACAAAGTATAAACTACACAACACAAGTCTAATGCACAGCAATCCATAAGATAAGTCCGATATTTTCAAGAAAACTCCCCAGGACTCCGGAGTTTGCTGCATGAGTTGCACTGTATGATCGCTGGAGGACTGGGCTGTCACTCAAAGACTGAGTAGCCAATGGGGACGCACCCCTGAAAGTCCCACCCACCTGGGACGTTTGTATCAGAATCGAAAACAAAAAATTAGGGAGCGTAAACGAGAGAGCTGCAGCGAGAGCAAAAGTCTCATCATTGAGATCTGCAAACAAAAATAAATGTTAAAGCAAAGAAAAAAGACTTATAGTTTACATGATTACACAAATGATTTGTTTGCAACTTAGTTTTATTTTTGAAATTACATTTATTTTACTTGACTCAGTTTTGTTTCTCTTAAACTCTTAGTTTTGCTTGATTCTGAGAAAGTGTTGCTTTATGAAACAAAACTAATCCCATACATGCCTACCCTCATACCCTACTTTTATAATTTTCTAATAAAAAATCTATCGATCCTAAATCTATCGATTCGATTTATGGTTCGACTTTTGAAACTACAAGAAGATAAGGAGGACTTTTACAAAAAAGTAATAGAGATTTTTGTCCAGAAGGATAGGCAAATGGACTTCATCTTCAAGTCAAGGTAAAACCACCATTTTATTGAAAATGGGATCTTACTAAGAGAGAACAATTCAATATTTAAATGATAAAATTACTTTTTTTGGGTATCCTTTTGTTGAACTGTCCGTTTAAAATTAATCGAAGCATCAGACTAAAAAAGCTTTTGAAAATAATATTATATTTTGATTTAGGTCAAAATATAATCTTTGGAAACCTGAAGAGTCAGTGCCAGTGCCTCACCAGCCATGAACCTCGCTGCACGTCACTGTAGAAGCTTATAATAAAAATCTACGTTTTTTGTGCCTCACCACTTTTGTACATAGACAACGCCACTGTTTGTATTACACATTTTCTGAAGTGTTATTAAAAAAAAAAAGCAACTGAGGCATTACATTTTTAAATATGCAGTAATTTGCACATACATTTATGATATCATTTTGAACATTGGATAGAGCAAGGTTACCATTTTAATTTCATGTTGGTGACATATTAGTCACGTTTTTACTGGGGGAATTGTATCTCTGTATTGTTCTATAAATCCCCCCCAAAAATGTCAACAGCCATAAAATGTAATGTAATAAAACATTATTAGAATATTTCCCTCTAAATATGGACTACAAGTAGGCCTATACGTTTGCATGCCATTACATTAATCAAGGAAGTACAAGTACCTCTAATATGTATGTAATAACAGTAGGCCTACTAAGTTATTCCACCCTGCATGTTTAGTATGCTATTCGAACATTTCTGTGAAGTAAAAAAAGTGTATCAACAAATTCCATGCTTTTATTTTGACTTCTTGAACCGGAAGTGTTTCTGTTTCTACTTGGACGGTACACTAACATTTTGGCGTTTAGCTTGGAGTTCAACAATGCAGGTAATATTATTGAAATGCCTTTATATCCATTTACAGTATGCGACTTTTTTATATTTTCACATGCGTTCTAATTGAAGTTGTACTCGCATACTTGTAAACTTTGCTCCTGATTTACGTATGTGTAGACTACAGCTAGCAGTACTAGCTTGCTAAATGAGACAAAAACTAGTTTGCTTTTAAACCAGCTTTTGTTAGTTAAACATTACAATGAATTCCTACTTATTATAGAGTTAAACGGACATTTATTTGGTGAACAAAGCCTGTCCTTATTATTTTGTGTGTTAAGTGTGAGTATTTATCAGGCAGCTTTGCTCCTTTCTCCTCTCAGCAGCGGGAGGAGAAGCAGCTGGAGGCGGCGGTGGAGTCTCTCATCTCTCGGGTTGCTCACGTGAAAAACGCTCTCCATAGTTTCATTTATAAACTGGAAAATGAGTACGAGCGATTAACATGGTAAGGACATTTTTTAATGAACAAAATATATTAGTTTGTGCCGTTTAACTTGTCAATACAACATAATTTATATTATCATAACCGATCCCTTGCAGATTGTGTAAGTTTGCCCACTCACAAAGAAATGAACAGTCTATATTTTTAATGGTAGGTTTGTTTTAACATTGAGAGTAAGAATATCAAAAAGAAAATCCAGAAATTGACATTATATAAAAGATAACAATTGATTTGCATTTAACTGGGGGAAATAAGTATTTGATCCCCTTGCAAAACATCGCTTCAGACGTCAGACTCTTCTTGTAGCTGGTCTCCAGGTCTGTGCACATCTCAGGAAGGATGTTGGTCCACTCCTCTTTGAAGATCCTCTCCAAACCATTCAGGTTTTGAGGCTGATGCTTGGCATCTGGAAGCTTCAAGCTTCAGCTTCCTCCACAGATGTTCTATGGGATTAAGGTCCGGAGACTGGCTCGGCCCCTCCATCACCTCAATGTGCTTCTTCTTTAGCCACTCCTGTGTTGCCTTGGCCGTATGTTCAGGGTCATTGTCCTGCTGGAAGACCCTTCCATGACCCATGTTCAGAGTCCTGGCTGAGGGAAGGAGGCTATTGGCCAAGATCTTGCGGTACATGGCCCCGTCCACCCTCTCCTCGATGCAGGAAGTGGTCCTGTCCCCTTAGCGGAGAAACACCCCAAAGCAGAATGTTTCCACCTCCATGCCTGACGGTGGGGATGGTGTTCTGGGGTTATAGTCAGCATGTCTCTTCCTCCAAACATGGCATCTGGCCAAATCCTCTTCTCCCAAGCCTTCTCTGAATCCTTCAGAGGTTCGTTGTCAAACTTCAGACGGGCCTCTCATGTTCTTCTTGAGCAGAGGACCTTGCAGAGCTGCAGGATTTGATCCATTATGATGTATTGTGTTACCAACACTTTTCTTGGTGCCTGTGCTCCCAGCTGCCTTGAGATCATTCACAAGTTCCTCCGTGTAGTTCTGGCTGATCCCTCACCTTTCTCCTGATCATCAAAACCCCACGGGGCCAGATCTTGTGTGGAGCCCCAGACCGAGGGCGACTGATGCTTATTTTGTGTTTCTTCCATTTCTGAATAATCACACCAACTCCTTCTCACCAAGCTGCTTTCTGGTGGTCTTGGAGCCAGTCCCAGCCGTGTGCAGGTCTACAGTCTGGTCCCTGAGGTCCTTAGACAGCTCTTTAGTCTTGCCCATGGTGGAGAGGATACTTTTTTAAAGGCAGAGGACTTATGTAACCGGTCTCAGGGAGCCAGAGTTCTTGTTTGTTGCAAGGGGATCAAATACTTATTTCCCACATTTAAATGCAAATTAATTTCTTTGTAAATGGGTAGACTTACAAAATCGGCAAGGGATCAAATACTTATTTCCTCCACTGTATGTAACTACACAAAGACTTATATATAATATGCACTATAATGGAATGTTTGACATTTGAGCATTTTGATTTGACTCACACTGAGTTTAATATGAATGTTTGTCTTTCAGACACCTGCAACAAGATACCTTATTACCATTCCAGCTTCAACATCCATCTCAGAGGTGGTGGATATATACTGTACTTAAGTACAATTTAGAGTTACTTATACCTAACCTGAGTTTTTTTCAGTTTATGCTACTTTATACAAAGTTATTCAAACTAGCTCTGGATTGACCAGTTGTGATTAAAATACATGAATAATAATAAAAGTAACTCAATATATATATTATTTAGAAATGGGCCATAAAGCACAAGGAGTACTTTTGGTACTTTAAGTAGATTTTGATGCTAATACTTTTGTACTTTTACTTAAAGGGGACCTGTCATGCAAAATGCACTTTGTGATGTCTTTTATACATAAACATGTGTCCCCGGTGCGTCGGGGAACTCACGCAGCTTCAGAAAATAAAACCCTCTCTCTTTTCCTCCGTACCCAAATCTTTAAAAAACGGGGTTACAACGAGCAGATACAGATTTGCTGCTGATATGACGTCAAATCGGCGGCGGACCCACAGAAAATTGCTATCAGAAACAATGCCTGACGTGTTTTGGACGTAATCTTGTCTTTGTTTACGTTAACAAGCCTCGCTAACACTCAGAGCTAACCTGTACTGCAGAGCACATGTGTTTAAAAAGCAGGAAATCAAAAAAGGAACTCACCTTGTGATAAACCCACAAGAGAAAAAGCATTTGAGCTCCATACTGTTTCAGAAATAATCCTTGATGTGGTTTAGAACAGGATGGCGTTTTATCACAGCAGAATTTAACTTTATCTCCGGTAGAATTCTGATCAGGCATTAGCTCCGCCTCCTCTTTTTCTTTTTTTTTCAAGCTAAGGACCCAAGATCCGTGTTTCTCTAACAGGGCTGCACAAGAGGGGTATGAGCAGTATGAGGCATGGCTACAATGGGTGAACTGTTTGGTATTTTAAGCAAAGAACTTCACAGACATGTTTTATATAGGTATGGCCCTACAATATATGTTTCCAATATAGCATGATAGGTCCACTTTAAATAAGATTTTGAATGCAGGACTTTTACTTGTAACAAAGTACTTTTTAAAATGTAGTATTTCTACTTTTACTTAAGTAACAAATCTAGTACTTCTTCCACCTCGGCATTTCTGAGTGACCAATCTCTCTCTATGGTCGAATTCTCTAGTAAAGATTGAATTAAGTTATCTCAAAAGAAACAACATCTAATTATATTTTTTTGTAGATTGTCCTAACTAATTAAACCTTGTCAAATAAATATGTAAGCACTGCCTGGTGAGTGGATGGACATGTTCTACTGCGTAAAAGCAATGCAATGAAACATCTCCTAATTTCTTATGTGATTTTTTTTGTCATCAAATTGTTTGGAAATCCGTTTCCCTCTGACATGAGGTGATAATGTGTGTTTGTGTCATTCAGGCCGTCGGTTCTGGACAACTTCGCTCTGCTCTCTGGTCAGCTGAACACCATCAACAAACTGCTCAAGAACGAGAAGACGCCGTCCTTTCGCAACCAAGTCATAATCCCTCTGCTCCTGTCTCCAGACCGGGATGAGGATTTAGCGGTGAGTTTCAAAGCCGCTGTCTGCATTCTGCTCCTCTGATGTGATTTTGAAGACATCTCTCTGACCTGTCTGTTTCTGGCTCTGCTTGTTCTCCCCACAGAAACTCACTGAGCTGCGTGTCCCAGTGTTCAGCCATGAGATTGTTCCAGACTACCTGCGGACTAAGCCTGATCCAGAGGTGGAGGAGCAGGAGAAACAGCTGAGTGTGGAGGCAGCACGGATTGGCCCGGAGGTGGCACAGGTCAGATGGTGCTCACATGGAGGCTGCCCTACTCATATTCAGAAATACCAAGCAGTTTACTGGACTTAAATATAAGAAAACACCAATTGACTGGTTGAAACTGGCTGCTTTCAGCTGATTGGCTGATGAGTGTGCCTGAAGTCAACTGCATTTACAACTGCTGCAAGTCCAAAATAGGTTTTGGAGAAAGAACCTCAATAACAACAAGATGGTTCAGTAACATGGTGACTCTTTGGGGACAATGTAGTTATGGAATAGTCAATGTTTCATTATGAACATTATTTATTTGAAATGTTCCATGAAAGGAAGTTTCAAATATGTTAATGTATGTTGTATAACTTTTAAAAGTTAGAATCTAGAATGGTGAAACTCAACTAACATGTTGAACTTTTAAATCATTTCAAACTTTATTTAAATAGCACTTTTCATACACAAAGGTAACACAAAGTGCTTCACAAACCTAAGACATAAACAAAAATGATAACAATACCAACCCGCCTTTCCCAGGTAACAAACTATTTAACATATATTTTCCTATTAGAAACAGAGGAATGAAAACTTTTGTATTTTTCACATACATGTAGATGTACACCGCACACACACATTTGACCTCTCCATTGAATCTGTACTAGGAGCAGTGGGCGGCAATTTTACAGCGCCCAGGGAGCAATGCGGGGGGGTGCGGTGCCTTGCTCAATGGCACTGCGTCAGCGCCCAGGATGTGAACTGGGACCTTTCCAAGTACCAGTCCACACTCCCTTATTTGGTCTGTTAGGTTAGGGGACTTGAAACGGCCAGCCTCCAGTTCCAAAGCCAAGTCCCATAAATAATATGTAATACCAACACAGGACAGTATAACATAAGAATCAGGGTTCGTACGGGTGCTGGAAATCCTTGAAAATGCTTGAAATTGTACGAGGTGTTTTCAAGGTTTGAAAAGTGCTTGAATTTTGGGAATGGTGCTTGAATTTGGGATAAAGTGCTTGAAATTGTAAATGCTTTACTTCACTTTTTAGATTAAAAGAAAAATAAAGAAGTCGGAGTGCGCTTAATTGCTTCGCTTCTACATAAAACAGCTCTGCTGCGGCCTTCCCGCGCTATGCGCGCGAGCTGCAAGTGTTTGTGTTACGTGTGACCTGGGCATTCTGATGAGAGTGATAGATGACTGTGTGCCAGGAGGTTGCAGTTTCAACGAGCGTTGGCTAGCAGAAGACAAATACAAGCCATGGCTAAGACGAGGGTCAAGCCCACGAGTAGCCTCCTGCAAAGTTTGCAACAAATAATGATGCGAGAGTCTGCGCTGACGAGCCACATGAAAGGTACGCCGTAGAAGAGCATTTTAGATTAGGCTAACGTTGCATGTTACGTTTGTTTAAGCTAACGTTAGCTAGCTGAATAGCGAACTCGATTGAGGGATAATAATAATTGCAGGGGACAATCATTTCAGAGGAGCGTTACAGTCGCCATCGTGCGTGCGTGCATGTGTGCGTGCGTGTGTGCGTGCGTGCGTGCGTGCATGCGTGGAAACACTCACAAGAAACACCGGCGGCTGTTATGCTTGCTGTGACGTTACATTAGTCCGTTCTCTGCTTGTAATTATGCCGAAGCTTCAAAGTTGTATTTATCATCTGAATTTGCCGAAACAAGTTTAATATTCTGAAAGCCAAGACTTTGTTTATTTGAAAACAGATGAAAACAAACTGTCTTTTATATCAGATTGAAGTATTATACAAGTAAAACTACATTTTGCTTTAATCCCATGTAATTGTAGAATGAACACAGTCTTCCTTTGAAGATGTATAAGTCAGGTGTCTTGTGTAGTCAGCATTACCTACAAATCATTGTACACATTTGTAAATATTATTTTCCACTTGTTACCTTTGTGAGGCTATTTTTATGCAGCTCTGCTTGATTTTGTGGCTACAATTCAGACTAATACGCTACCAGAGGTGGAATAAGTACTCAGATCTTGTAGTGAAATGATAAGTACTCAGATGTTGTACATGAGTAAAAGTAGAAGTACAGAGTGTAGGAATACTCTGTTACAGTAAAAGTCCTGCATTCAAAATGTTACTCAATTAAAAGTAGAAAAGTATTATCATCAAAATATAGTGAAAGTATCGACAGTAAAAGTATTCGTTGTGCAGATTGGTCCATTTCAGAATAATATATATGATATGTTTTATAATGATTGATTGACTTTGAATGACTCTGTATACTGCAGGGGAGCTGGTGGATTTACTCCAGGTGGAAATAAAGTCTGATTCAACACTTGATTATATTTCACATCATTCATCCACATCTGTGAAGTAACTAAAGGTATTAATACATGTAGTGGAGTTAAAGTACACCATTTACCTCTGACTTATGTTCACTGCCAACCTAAAAGTACCTAAAAGAATAGTAATCAATAATGTATTGAAAAGTTATTTGGCTGATTGTTTTATATGGGAGGCCCAGTCTACGTACAGGTCACTCATTTTGAAATATTAAACTTAGTTTTCTTTTCTTTAATTTGTCATCCTCGTGTAGAATGCTATCACGAAACACACATTTGGTTGTTTATAGCATAAAGAACATCTGATTTAATGTGAGGTAGGGAAATAATCATTTGAGTATAAGTATGTGTATATAAATATGTAATTTACAACAGCTGTAAAAGGCTTGAAAAGCTTGAAAATGCTTGAAAAGTGCTTGAATTTGACTTTGGAAAATGTGTAAGAACCCTGAAGAATAAAATAAGAATGAATACAATGAAATGAAAAGACAAAAAAGTGGGTCTTGAGTTGGCTCTTACAAGTATGAATTCATTTGCCAAAACACTGCTTACTGCCGAGAGTTTTTTCCATTTGTAAACCCCCCCCGATGATATTCTTCTCAACAGAAACAGATCCAGACGTTGAACAAACTGTGTTCCAATCTCCTAGAGAAGCTCAACAATCCCCGTGACGACAGAGATTCAGAGACTGCCGGTGTGTTTCACTCTGTGTCCGGCTCATCATCTCAAATGTATTTATACACTTAAACGTATTGACACTCAATATGTTCTTTTCCCAGCAATCCGTCAGAGCAAGCCGTCCTTTAACCCCGCGGACACCAACGCACTGGTTGGAGCGGTGGCGTTTGGGAAGGGGCTCTCTAAATGTAGGCCCCCAGGCCCAGTGGCCCCTGGACACCCAGGACAAGGGCCCATGATGAGTGGAGGTCCCACCTTACAGCAGGTCACCATCGGGGGCGGTTCTGTCCAGCAGGCAGGTATGGGAGGCCCTGTGGCCCCTCAGCAGCAGGGGCAGCCAGGTAGGAGGCCTGGAGAGCTGGGTTAGTATTCTCCTGTCTCACTGTTCAGCACACTCATAATGATGTTAGGCCCCCAAATATTTGATTTAGTCAGGGTTAATGTTTATGTAACGGTCTGTATAAAGTGGTGATGCTGTACACATTTATCTCAAAATAACCGAATATTTCAAGGGTACTCTTTACTTAACTGCAAAAAAAGTGGATATGTTCCAAATGGTAAATGGACTGTACTTATATAGCGCTTTATCCAGTCTTTACGACCCCTCAAAGCGCTTTACATACTACATGTCATTCATCCATTCACACCCATTCATACAGAGCACCTTACTCTAGGACCTAACATTCACACACCGTTGGCCATCGGGATCAACTCAGGGTTAAGTATCTCGCCCAAGGATACTTCCATATGTTGACTGCATGGGCTGGGATCGAACCCACAACCTTCTGGTTGAAAGACGACCGCACTCCCTCGCAGCCACAGTCGCCCCCAAATGAGTCTAATTAGAAGTTGTTGCATAATATTTATTTTCTCCCTTTCTTTTCTTTCTCAGGAAAAATACCAAGCAGCATCAAAACAAACATCAAATCTGCATCCGGGTCGATGCATCCCTACAACCGATGATCTCCTCATAAATGACATGTTCACCAGACGTGTTACATTTCAGAAACACACCTACAGCAATGACATTTGTAAAACTAAACCTGTATCCTTGTATATTTTCCTGCAAAAGTAGTTTTTTGTTCTCACTAAAGCTGTTTCTTTAAACGTTTTCCAAAAATAAAATGATAATATTAGTGACCTTTTATGGTGCATTGTTGATACATTATCTGAGCCACAGCGTTTGGGCCACTAGAGGGCAGTGTGTCATCATGTATGGACTATACTAGCTTGTGTTGGAAATGTTCTCTTTTCAATCAAATATGTTATAAGAACTAATTGGCTGTGTGATGAATACACATAGATACTTCATTATTTATTCTGTTTGTATGTGCACTTCAGGAGAGTAATATTTCTGCTCATTTTTCAATTAATTCTTGCCATTTTAAAATCTAAACAAGTTAATTGCGTTGCCTGTTTCTTATTATTACAATCAGGCAGTGTTGACACAGCTCTGTATGATCAGACCTGTACCATTGTGGTAATTGAACATCACCAGTGTTATGTGTTGACATGGACAGGACTCCCACCCATCAAATGACCATCCCAACCTTTCAGACACTCACCATGATCTGATGTCTGCTCGGTATTTCTTCTTCTCTAGCTGCTCTTTGCCCATTTTGCAGTAGTACCAAAAGTGAGAGTAATGAGGGTGGACGTAGCTCTGTGTGGCCTGATAATGTCAAAGTGTTTAAGGGGCCAAATGAGGAAGTATCGGTGCTGACGTGTGAGGGCCCCTCTCTTCACGCCGGCTCTCTCTGTCCACTCCGATCCCTGTCCTGCTGCCCAGCACAGTGACCGCGCTGCTGTCACAGCGTGCGGCCCATGGCTGACCTACATACACCCTCTGTCCCCAAACAGGCAGCCGTCTCGCTGCGTCAGCCGCCCGGTCAGACGCTCTGCTGAGACAGCTCAAAGCTGCACAAGGTCACACTTACTGTGTCCTAGCTCACAAACAAAGACCCAACAGGCAGCATGCTGCAAAGCTCATCAACACAAAGGTTGAACTGAGTTTACTGCCAAACTATCACCCACAAATGTAAATGTCCAGCAGTTTTTGCATTTCTTTTTAACTATTTTCTAAAACAAGTGGTGGAAGATGTACACATTTCTTCATACTTAAGTCAAAGTAGCGATACTAAATTGTAAAAATACTCAGTTACAAGTAAAAGTCCTCCATTTAATATCCTACATTGGCATAACAATATAGGTACCAAAAGTGAAAGTACTCATTTATTGGCTAATTCCAGAATCATATATTCAATTACTGGATTATGATTATTGATGTGTTCATCACAGCTGTTAAAGATGGAGTTATTTTTAATTACTTAAACAATTGCTGCTGGATTTGTTAACTTTTGATAATATGCAAATGTTTATTCATTGTTCGATTTATTGTGTTAGCTAAAAATCGGAATTTGTAAAGTAACTAAAGTTCTCAGATAAATGTATTTGAGTAAAAAGTCATTGATTATGAAGTATAAAGTATAGCATTAAGTGAGAATCCTCATAAAGCGCAAGTATCGCAAAATTGTAGTTAAGTACAGTACTTAAATAAATACACTTTACCACATTCCACCACTGCACACGACACAGTTCAAATTAAAGCTTTTCACAAGTTCCTACTTCACTGTCAATGTATGATTGTGGTACTTCACATGTTCTTGTCAGGTTCTGTTGAGTTGACTTGGTCCTTTAATAATAAAAAAATGAATGATGCTTGATAATGAAAACATTGATCTGATCATATTTTAAGAGCTGTACAGGACGGATGCTGTCAGTGATTTAAATTGCTCTCTTTGGAGAGACTCATGAAGAAGTGTTACACCATCACTGCCCTGACACTGCTGCCATGTCTGAGCCTCGTGACACATTTCAATTCCGCTATAAATGTTCTTCTTGTCATAAAACTAGCATGTTGCATCTGGATCTAAATGCCATCCATTTGTGCTGCTGTACAAAACCTAAACACAGTTCATATTTGGTCTTTTTGACATCTTATCCTATACAAATGTATTTTATAAAATAATGTGTTATTTGGGATTTAGGAACAGCATGAAACATTTACATAAACAGAACTGGGAAACAGGTTTCAACCAAACCAAAATGGCTGAACTCCTGCCACCAAGGCTAGCTGCTGAGATAGCATTAGCTTAAGCTAATTTACTAATTGTTTCTATTTTCTGATAATAAAACAATTGTATGAGTTTAAACAACGAGTGAAATCTATCATACCAAATAAAAAAGACTGGCTAAATCTTAAATAATGATGGAGTAACACCACATAAGCTAGGCCTGCTAAAGCTAGTGGAATCCTCATTTCACAAATATAAAATAGTAGCCGACAACTCCTCCTCATTGCTGGCATCAACACAGAATACACTGCACTTTATTTTCCAAAGATACTTCTGTGGTTCCACTATCCGCCATTTTGCTAAAGGGGATGAGAGTACCTTACATTAACACTCTTCGGTAACTGATGGCTACCGGTAACTACCAAAGCCCCTTGGAGCGCCGAAGACAATTTTTTTATAGTGGCATGTCATGTGATGCCATTTGGCCCAACAAAACTGCTTTCCATACACATGTGAAAGAGACCTCTGTAAATAAGCATATATTTTAGGGATTAATCCAATTCCCAGGACGACCCCTTGCTAGAACTTTTATCAGCAGGGCTAAAAGTTGCGGAATCTAGAGTTAGTTTGGATGTGGAAGACCCTGGTCATTTTACAACTGACAGTCAAACTTTTTGGGCTTCATGCGCCACTGATCAACTTTCATAGGAGTTTTCTTTATACATCCATGGAGCTACACTATGTTGTGGCAAAACAAAAGTGCTAGTCTTTTTCTGTTTTGTTGGCTCAATGGTTGCCAAAAGTCAAGCCTTTATTCATCAGGGAAATGGCAGAAGACAGAATTGCATAGTCAGTATAAGGAGGCATCGGGAACCAATCTAAAAGCTGATAGTGTCATTATATGTATACCCACAAGTTAAGTAAAAAAGATGTCTATTGCAACTTTAAATTACACGTGCTTGTTTAAATAATTATGAATACATTTTAATAAAAAATGTAAGTAGTTTTCTGCATATTTAAATGTTCATTGGTATGTTTGTTTTGGTTTTATTGAAGGTCTTTGAAAAACATTAATAATACATTTAAAAATACCTAAAAACAAGATTTCACAACTTATATATGACACAGTTAGACAGACACTTTAATTCTGTCTTTGCTTCTGTTTTTAGGGCTTTCTGCTCTTGTTAGTACCATGAGGGGTCAGCAGTGTGTTACTATTGGAACGCACCCCCCTGCCACAAGCTCATTCCTGCAGGTCTCCCTTGAAAAAGAGATCTATGATCTCAATGGGACCAATCTGGTTAAATAAAGGTTTGAAATGAAATGAAATGAATTCTGTATAAACACGTTTCTTAAACCGCCTTCAGTTTTGACTATTAATTTAAATATTAATTTGAATCCATTAATCAAGATAGTGTGTGTAAGATGGGAGATAGTCACACCCTGCATTCAGTCTGACTGAGCCACGCGGTGCATACTGCATGATGGGAAAACTCAATATGACAGCTGCCTTCTAAATTACAATAAACAGTATAGAGGGTACAGAGAGCAGGGCGGACCGGGCAGTTTTTTTACAAGACATAAATCCATGTTGACAACATAATCAGCATTGCTATCTTATGAAAAGACAGGATTCCCTCTGAAGCAACACACGGCGGTGACCAAATGTGTCAAATGACTTCATGTCCAGAAAAGCAGGGGGAACATTTAACACGGACACAAACTCAAAACAAATTAGCAGCACGAGAATCGACATCTTGCTTTTGTTGTTGGATGAACGTGTGATAATTATTGCAACAGCAGTGTATCTGAACATCCTTGATCATCAGGGGAAAATATTGTTTTGTTTCATTTCTGATTCCTGTTTTGGAGAGATAACTTTAATTTCTTTAGTTAGAGCCTCTCCTGGCACAGTTTTAAAGGGTTTCCCCCCCGTTGTAATCGAAGAACAGGATAAGGTCCACGTCCTGCTCATGATGGAAGCTTTAGGCAAATATAAAGAAGCAGTTTAAACTCCCACACCCTAAATGTTCAAATTTACCGCAGATCCTAATTCAAATGTTCCACGGTTGAAATAACTTGAAAGGCTGCGATGACGCACGCTGATCTGTGAAATCTCCTCCGAATGTCTTCTTTATGGAAGTTGGGATCAGAGGAATTCATTAAAGATCTGTGGGTGGCATCGGCAATACGAGAGTGAGGCTTTCCAGTTGGCAAGCCCAACTGAACACTGTCCAAATGTGAAATGTGCAACACACCCACAGGCACTAATAACTCCTGCATATTCCTGCACAACCTTACTGTGGACTTTGTGATTCATATGATCAGAAGAATGTTAATAATGCTGAGGCTCACCTTAAGACTCTGTTATGTGGTGCCCTCAGACCTCGGACCCCACATCGTCTGTTCAGTAGCCCTTCCCTCAGGCATGTGTGTGTGTGTGTGTGTATATATCATGCTGGCAGGCGTTGACATAACTAATGCGCATTATGGGTTGTGTATGAGGCCAGCCTTTATGTGAGCCTTGTTATTGTCATTGATATAATGTGAGTGTGTGCCACACGCATTGTGTTCTGGTTGAGGGTGATTGATATGAAGCTCAGACACAGCAAAGCAACCAAAGACAACGCTGACAGGGTGACTGTCCTCCGGAGTGAGAGCTCTGTTTGATTCTGCCAAAACTGAATTTATTTTTCTTTGCAAATTAGCAATTAAACTTTATGCAAATCTTGCAAAAGCCTATTTGAAGTGTGCTTTGTTAAAGTAATGATGATGATGCTCCCTCTTGATTTCAGTCAGAAAGAGTTATTTCCCTTTATTTTTATATAAAAAGTATGAACAGTACTGTTTACAGTCCCCCCCCCCCACCCCCACCGTCAGTGGCTTGGGACAACATTTTCAACTAAATGTAATGTCACTAATGAATTTAAATCCGATAACTCTCAGTTTAGCTCAGGTTTGGCCTCCACCAATTACTAATAAAACCATCTGGTTAAAGTTCTTAAACCACAAGAAAGAAACCTTCAAGATTCCTAAATCAGAATCAGAATTCCTTTATTAGTCCCACAGAGGGGAAATGTACGTAGCAGAAAAAGAGCCACAGACATGTTACTTATGTTACACATGTTACATGCATTAAAAAGTATGATATAATAAATTAATATATTTAGGGAGGCGTGTGGTGCAGTGGGTAGTGCGTTGGTGTTGGGATCAGGGAGCACAGGTTCAAACCCCACTGCAGTCAGCATGTCGTTGTGTCCCTGAGACACTTCACCCCAAAGTGCTCCTGTGGGGATTGCCCACAGTATTGAGTATGTAAGTCGCTTTGGATAAAAGCGTCTAACAAGTGACATGTCATGTCATGTTTAATTTACAAAATACACATCCTGTAACAGTTCTTAGGATTTAGCAGCCGTAAATGCTCCGTAGGGAAGTGGGAAACCTTAGAGTCGGAGTAGAGGCAGAAAAGCACCAAAAAAAACTTGAAATCTTGAAATGTATTATTATTCAAATGTTTCAAACTATCATTTGTATCTAGACATAAACAATCAACTTGCCATACTGTAGACTGTAGAGAATAGTTATTTTCTAAGGCTGGACCTTTCGTTATAACTGCAGTCAGATCGTGGAAGTAAGCACTCTCTATTCAAACTAGATCTCTTTTTTAAGGAACAACCTCAGCATTTGTAAAAAAAAATGCAGAACCAACCAAAAGACATTTTTCAATTAATATTCTGCCAAAAACAATGGCAGCTAATCACATTAGTGAACCTCTGGCTTTCAGTCCCCTGAGGGTCTGGGGCCCAAAGGTGTAATGTCGGGACCCCCAGCATCAGTCACAGACATTTCTACTACTTCTTCTATTAGGAATATAAGGCAGTGAATAATAAATCAAATGTAATAATATAGTAATATAAAAAGACTACATACCTCAGCCATAAAACATATCCAAATACAAATATATTTAGTCTTTATAATATTATATATAACAAGTAGTGTCCTCAATAAGTGGACCAGCGTAATGTAAATCAGCCATCTCTCATTTCACACCTTTTAGAGCAAAAAGACAACTTTGGGAACAATATTTTGTCGAATCACTAAAATGAACAAAAGAACACTTAGCTTCAGAGATCAGGGAAAGCACAGATATTTCAGATTTGTAGTTTTTACATGGAAACTGTTGACCGTTATTTAACCGTTATCTTAGTTCACATATAGTTTTTTAGACTAGGTTAGCATTGTCAACTATATTACATTTTAAATATTTAGTGTGAACCCCTTTCTTACTACATATTGAAACAGTCACACAATGCTGTAACAGTTATGACTACCAGACAACTAAAACCCTTCACCTTTCAGCCAAATATACCAGTTTAAACCAAGACACATCAAGGCTTGTTTGATTGCAAATCATCAGAGCAGTGAATTCTGGGAATGTCTTGTAGAATAACAAACATAATAACACTTGCCATCTAAATCTAAATCCTTTTAAAATCGATATTAGCCACTGACATTTTAGAGTTTTTAACAAAATGTCTGGAAGAGAACACATTAAAGGTGGGGTAGGTAAGTTTGAGAAACCGGCTCGAGATACACTTGTTGTTATATTCCATGGAATGCTCTTAACATCCCGATAGCAATGAA